CCACGGCAGGGAACCTGGGCCTCCTTTCAGAACCTCCATGAAACCCGTGCCTCCCACTTTCTGCCTTCCTAGACCCAATCAGTACTCAGTGTCCCCCCTCCACTGCCAGTCTTCTTTCCTCTCTGTTTTCCCCTGCGTCGGTGTGCCTTTCTTTCCAGCTTCGGCACTCTAGTTCTGTCTCAGTCTTCCCACCGCAATGTTTTGGCCCTCCTGGTATTTCTCCACTTATACCTCCATCTGGACATCACTATCTCCCCACGTGTTTCATAAATCTTCTGTCCTTTGAGTTTTGCCTCTGCATCTCTCTTTATTTCTTGGTCTGCTTCTGCTCCTTGTGTGCTTGGCCCTTGGTCTTTTGGTGTGTCACAGTCCCAAGCCCCCAGTGCTCTGACTTGCCCCAGCTGTGGTCAGAGGGTGTGGTGGTAGCTGGCACTCACCAGAAGGGTAAGTCAGATAACCTGGGGCTATGAGAGACCCAGAGATGTTCAAGTGAGAAGGGCCAGTGGCACTGACCCCCAGATTGGAGGAGACCCCCGCCTCCTACCTACTGGCCTGGGTGGAGCTGTTGGGGGATATTGTGAACAGCTGCCCAAGCGTCTCCCTCGGCCAGTCCTGGGGATTCCTACCCACCTGCCAGGCTCTGAAACACCCAATCATTGCTTCTCAGGGTGGATTTGCTAATTTGCAACCTTTTCTGGGAAGGTCAATTTGCCAACCTTTGCTGCTGATGGGAAGAAGCTAGAGCAGAAACCGAAGCTCCAATGGGCCCTTCTTCCTTTGGAAGTTTTGGCCTTCTCCTTGCCCCTCCAGAGCCACCCCAGCTCAGACATCTGCACTGGAGTCTCCGTACCACCCATGGAAGTGGAACTCTTTCCTTGGCCTCCTCTTGGTCTACCCTTTGGGAAAGCTGAGCTTCCTTCGCTACCCTTGGGGGTGCCTAACTTGGGGGCTAGGGCTCTCTCCTTGGTTCTGGGCCCTCAGAACTCGGAACCTCTTCATAGCTGGTTTTGTTGTTGTTTTGTTTTTAAATTCAGCTCCCTTTTGCAGATGAAGAGACCAGGAGCCAAGGACTTGCTGAGGCTACATGGCTAGTCAGAGACTGAGGTGGCACCAGAACTTGGTCTTTAGACTTTCAGTCCATGGGTCTTTCCAGGACCCAATATGGCCTCCCTCTTATGGCTTGTGGGAAGACCCCAGGTTGGGGCTGGGGCTGCCTCAGGCCTCAGGGGCATGGGGCTTCCCTTTTCCTCCTTAGCCCTGTGCTCTGAGACATTCTCTGGCTTCCCTTACATGAACATAGGGACTGTCTGATTTGCCCACCCTTGCTCTGCTACAAGGCACAGGGACCCCAGACATCCGCCCACCAGCTGTTGGCCTATGACTCCAAGCCAGGAAGTGGGTGAAGCTGAAGACTTTGTGCTCCCATCTCTACTGCCTTGATCCCCCGTATCAAATGGGTTGACTGAACCTGGGGGATCACACACACACACATACCCACACACACGACACCCTGGCTGGATTCCACTTGGTTCCCACGTCCCTAGATTGGCAGAAAGCCTGGCAGCTCTGAGGCTGGATGCTGAGGTTCTGACCCCCTCTGCCTGCTGACCTCGCTTTGCTCTCACTGTCCTGCTGCTTCAGGGCACAGCAACCCCTCTGGCCTCCTTTTACACCCCACTCTCAGGCAGGTTGGAGCATGGAGGGGAACACTGTGTGAGAGCTGGGAGAGTGAGTTCAGGCCACCTGTTAATCCCCAACCTCCATCTACTACAGCTGTGTGATCTGAGGTGAAGCACTCTGCCTCTCTGGGTCTCAGTCTCTTTTTGTAAAATGAGGGGACTGGGTACCTCAGACCCTGTCTGAAGCTCATGATAGAGGATTCCTCAACAATCCCTTTACTATCACTGCTCTAGGAGAACAGCCTGGGGAGTGAGACTGTCCAACTACTCCAGCCATCTCCCAACAGAACTTGACCTTGACTGGGACCACCCCGTGAGGAAAGAGCACTCAGCTTTGTTCACACTGTTCCCAAGTCACCCTTCCTTTCCAGAGGGCCCGGGATGATGGCAAGACCCAGGCTTCTCCCGCTCCCAGGTGGCCCCATTCACTTACTTCTCATGGCTGAGCCTTCGGCTTTGCTGCCTTGGCTCCCTGTCCTCAGCCGGGGGTGGTCCAGGGATGGGGCGCGGCTGGCAGTGGGGTCGGGGCCAGATCCTCTCAGCAGAGTCTCAGCCTGCAGCTCGGCACCTAGCTCTCCCCCAACGCTTCTGGGCAGGGGGGTTTAAGCTCCGCACCACACAGGTGGCCGAGTCACAACCCCCCCACTCCACCCCCCTCACCCCCCCTGGGGTGCAGCGGGTAAGATGACAGGCGCCCCATGTGGCCAATCTGGGCCTGGGGCAGGGTGTGAGGGGCGGGGCAGCCAATCACAGGGGGCGTTGGAAAATTCCAAAACCACATGCGACAGCCACACGCGGTAAAAGCTGTTTCCACCGACAGGGTAGTTCTGGCTGGGGAGCCAGAATGGAGCTCACACGAGCCTGGGGCCAGTTTCCTACTCCCCCTCCCCCTGAGGACCCCCCAGCCTGACCCTCTTTGCCAGGGGACTCCCAGGACAGGGATGTTTCTAGAGGTAAGTCACAGGATGTCTGCCTGGGCTGGTGGCTTGTGCCACTTGAGACCCCGTGGACTGCCAACAGCCGTGCCCAGTGAGGTGCAGTCTGGGAGGCTGCCCCATGACGCACCATGCTCATGCTCTCCCTGGAGACACAGTATGTGCCCTGGGCTGGGGAATAAATGATAATAGTAGCAGTAATAATCATCAGACAACTGCCCACTATTTGCAGGAGGGGTTAGTCCGTCTCCATCAGAAATTTCCTCAGGAGCAAAACTGCTGTATTTGGAATGCAGGTGATGATGATGATGATGCTTACTATGAGCCAGAAATGGTCCTCAATGTTTTATGTGGATTATCTAATCCTCAAAAAATACTTTATGAGGTAGGTACCATTATCCCCATTTCAAAGTTGAAGAAATTGAGACACAGAGAGGTTAAGCAGCTTGCCCAAGGTCACACAGCTAGTAAGTGGTGGAGTTAGGATTCAAACCTAGGCTATTTGGCCCCAGATCCCATTTGAGGGATGGGAGAGTTTCTCTGGTTCAGGTCTGCTCTTGAGGGTGTCTCAGCCTGGGAGTTCTCCTGGCATGAGTCTCTCTACAGCGTTTCTTGGCCTGGGGGTCCTTCTGAGGGGTCAACCAATTTCAGAGGCCCTCTCAGCCTCATATCTGCTCTGTGGGGTACCTCAGCTTGGGGGGTTCCTTTTCAGGGCCCCTGACTCATCAAGCCCTTTCTTGGTCTGGGGGTACCTCCCTGCATGGGGTCGTCTCTATTAGAACCCCTTTTTCAGAGCCTCTTGGCCTGGGTGAGGCCTTAATCTCTCCTGGAGTCTCTGGGCCAATCCTCCTGACTGGTCTCTGATCTTGCTGAGATGCTGGCAGCTCCTCAGCCTGGAACAGGCCTTTCCCTGCTGGCCTTCTGGGGCTTGCAGGAGCTGAGCAGTGGGTTGGGGCAGGGCTGTCAGTCTGGGTTCTCATGAGGACACTCATGGGGTGGGGGTACGGTTGCACAGGGCCAGTGGGTTGGGAAGGTGATAAGGGCTGTGGTCCTGGCCGAGGTTTCTGTGGTAAGGGGTCAAGGGCAGGATTGGAGTTTAGTCTCTTCCAGTTCCAGCTGCTCCAAAAGTCCCCCTTCTCCCCCCACCCACATATGGTCCCTGGCTCCCCCTCCCCCAGCTCACGCGCGTCACTCCTTGACCCGCTTTCCTCCCAGGGCCCTGCTCAGCATTTCCGTGGGGCCCTGTGGCTAGGGGCAGGCGAGGCACCCATCAGGATTGTGCTGAGCAAAGCAACCCCCCACCCAGGGGGATGTAGCGTCCTGGATGGCCCCCCAGACCCTGTCTGCCGAGTTCAGGGAGGAGGGTGATGCTGTTGCCCTCTGAGATTTCTCTGCTCTAAGCAATTCTGGCAGTGGAAGGGAGAGCAGCGAGCTCTCAGGAGGACCTGGTAGGCAATCCAAGGGAGGGCCATGGAGATATGCAAGTGGCCTCTCCTGCCCCAGAGTGGTCCTCATCAGTTCAGGAACCAATGCTGACGCAGGCTTTCCCCAGAGTACCCTCAGGCTGTTAAGGGCATGCATGGCCCTCATGGGATATAACCTTTGGGACTGAGGTGGAGTGGGTGCATTTTCTGGGGGAGTAGCCTCTCCCACAAACTAGGAGGGTAGATCTGATGTTCTGAGAGGTCCCTAGAGAAGATGCTTTCTTGCTAGTATCCATTGGGAAGTCCTTCCTGAGCTCTAGCCCCTTCTCACATGCTGCAGCCTCAGTCTTTCAGGGCCCCAGGACCCAGAGTATCCCGGTCCTTGCCTTTCCTGCAGAGATGAAAGCTTTCCTGCTCTCCAGCCCTGCACATTCTGGCCTCAGGCTTGTTCACACCTCAGGATGTGTTAACCACAGAGATGAACACTGAACCTGGCTCTGCGGCCACAAAGCCTGGCGCAGGCTTCCTGAGTTCCTGAGGCCACCCTTGCCACCCCGTGCTCTCCATCTCCCTTCCTCCCTGGCCCAACACTCTGCCCCACCCCTTTTCAGTTCCTGTGCCTCTCTGTCCAGCATCCCTCCTCTCCTTTTCCCACATCTCCCTTTTCGTTGTTCTCTCCTTGTTTCTTTGTGATGTTCCCACTCACTCTTCAGGCTTCTTCCTTATCTCCCCCATTGCCCTGATCTTGAGGGTTTTTCACCCTTCCCCCTCCTTTCTGCATCTCCCCATGTCCCCTGTTTTTCTAGGCTCCACCCCTCTCCAGGCCCAGCCTTCTCTGCCTGGCTCCTCCATCTCTGGGCAACCTGTGCCTTTCTTTTAAGCGAACCTCCCAGAGCCCTGGCTGAATTCCTCCCCATCTCCCCACACCCCAGCACCAGTTCTTGCCACAATCTTCTACTCACAGGTGTGGGTCTTCTTTGCAGCCAGCAGCTCTGTAAAGAGAAGAGAGGGAGTCAGGGTCAAAAGTTGAAGACCACAGGGCACCGAAAGACACTCCCCCCAACTTGCAGGCCCCCATTCCCACCCCACTCCTTCCCAGCAGAACCAGGCATCTGAGGAGAAGGCGGGACCACCCTTCACAGTACCCCTCTCTTCTTCATTCTCTGCCTTCTGTCACATTGGCCCTCTTCCAGGTCCTCAAAAGTGCCAGGCTCCTCAGTACCTCTGGGACTTCCCCAAACCATCCCTTCCGTCTGGAATGCCCTTCCCTCGCACCCCTCTCAGTCTAGGAAGCTTCTCCTCATCCTTCAAGTTTCCAGTTATGTCTCTTCCTTGGAGAAGCAGTGCATGCCCCTCTCCCCTGCCCTCATGCTCACAAACTCAACACGGTGTGTTTGGTGTCCTGGCACTCACCACCGCCCCACCCAACTGCTATGACCATGTCGTTATCCATGAAGGGGACTTTCCTGCTCCATGGTAAGCCCTCTGGAGGCGGGGCCTGTTTGGTCTTGTTCACCTTGTTATTCCCAGAACCTTCCATAGTGCCCGGCCTATTAGAGGGGCACAGTAAATATTCTGCAGCCAGAGAGAAACCTCTGTGGGAGTTAAATCTCTTGGTTGCTTATCTGTGCCTGAAAGCACCTGGGAATCCCAGAGGTGTGGGGGTTGAGAGGAGGGTGGTGAGGATGTTTGGAGAAAGAGGAGGGATGAGCTGAAGCACACACTCCTCTCTGCCTTCTGCGGGGCCCTGGCTCCACCGGCCCCCCAGCCTGCAGAGAAGGAGACCCTTCCTGCCGCTGCTGTGTGGCTGGTCCGGGTGGAGAGCAGGCGGTAGGGAACACAGGTGGGTTGACATGGGGTGAACATGAATGCTCAGACCTCCAGAAGGACAGCTGCTGAGGGGAAGGCCTTAGCAAGAATGTTGTTCATTCATGCAGTTAGCATTTATTAAACTCCTGCCAAGGGAGCCCTTGGGAAAAGGCTTCCCCTGCCAGACCTTAGTCCATTTCCTATATCCACACAGCAGCTCCTCATAGAGCACAGGGCCAGTCTTCTGTTCCAGAAAACCCTGCAGCCCTGCCTTATGCCCGCTATCCTTTCCATAACCTCTGAATCTTCTCTCTTGTTATTTTTTTCCTTCTGCTGTCCAATGCTGGACACCCTCCCTCCCACACACACACTGTGCCTCTCCCTAGGAGATGCTCTCCACTGGCAGGCTTCCTCCACTGGACTGAGTGGGGGGGTGAGTGGATGTGAAGGCTTGGGCTCTGCTGGGATGGGGTGGGGGGTGGAATGCCCAGAGAGGGAGTGGCTCCATCCGGCCCCTCCCGCCTCCTGCTGATCCTGCCTGGCCCCACCCAGCTTCCTCCCTGACGTGGCACCATCTCTTTGGCCTCGAGCCTTGTACCTCAGAGCAGTCCTGGGGTGAGGTTGCTCTCCTTCCTTGCCTGGGCAGTGGAGCTCTTCCTCCACCAGGTGGCCCTGGAGCTTGACAGCTCTGGAACTCACAGCTTTCCCCTCAGTGCTCACAGCTGACCAAGCATGTGGCCATGGGATCCTACTCAGAGGGTCTCTGAGTTAGACCATCAGAGGGGCCAAGCACTGCCTGACCCTCTGTCCCCCCCTGGCCCTGGCCCAGTGCCCCACATTCTCTGCGGAAATGAAGCCCCATACCCCTGGGCCAGTGGGGAGGAAGGTGCCAGGCTAGCGGGCATGAGCAGCTGACAGGGTGTGGTTGCTTCCTCCCCCTACCCTTTGTCTGTCATCCTCAAAGGCAGGACAGGTGCCTCCACTGATGAATGAACAGAAGGTGGAATGGCCAGCTTTCCAGCCACTGCTGCTCAGGAGCCCAACCTGCTGAGCCATCTCAGGAGACGTCAGTAAAGCAGTGTCCTCACCTCCTTCCAGGGGCGCTCATACCTGGGAGGTCTGCCCACATTCGACTCTTCACTGATCTCACTTCCCTGACTTTGCTCTGTTCTCTTTCCCCCACCCCACCTGTCTTTTCTTCTTCACTTCTCCCTTTCTTTCCCCTCCGTGTGTTTCCTGTTCCTCCCCTTTTCCTAATTCTCCTCCGTGTCAGGTTCCGGGCCCCTCCCCCCATGTCTCCTTCAGTTGCTTGGGGACTCCTCCTGTCTCACTGGCCTGCATTCCCCTGCCAGTCCATCTCTCTCTCTCTTCTCTTGTAGCTCCTCCCCTCCTCACTTCTTGACCAGTCTCTTCCCATCTCTCTCTCTCTCCTCTGAAGCACCTGGCAGTCCCTGCCACTTGCCCGCAGGGCTGTGGGGCCTCTTACCCTGTGAGGCTCGGCGGTGTCTCTGTGGGGCCCTGTCCATGGGGCAGCTCCCTTGGTGCCGTCCTTGCTGCCCTGGCTGCCCAGGAGGGCAGGGAGCAGGGCCCAGGGGAGGGAGGGGGAAGGAGGGAGGGAGCACCTGGCCCATCAGCAGGCAGGGGAAAGGAGTGGCTGGCAGAGTGTCCTGGCACCAGGAGGGGACAAGGGGAGAGACCAGAGGAACTGAGTTTGGAGCCTTGAGGGGAGACAGGATACGTGGAGGGAAGGGGACTAGCATTTATTGATCACCTACTGTGTGCTGGGCCCTTTGCCAGGCACTTTATGTAAATCCATGCTTTTTCTTCCATCCTTCCAACATCCACCATGAGGCAAATGTAATTATTCCAGATTTACCCAAAAGCTAAGTGAAGCTCAACGATATTAACAACCTGCCCAAGGACTTGCCCAAGGACAATAAGTGGTTGAGCTGTGATTTGAACCTAGGTCTTTGTGACTTCAGAATCTTGTGCTTTTTACCTGATCAAGACAGGCAACAGCAAGAGGGGAGACGGGGATGGGAGAGATGGGGAGGGGATGACTTACTTGGGGGGGATTGTGCGTCTTCTCCAGGATGAGATCAGACTCATTTCAGAGATTCCTCAGTTCCTTGAGGCCTCTGCCTGCTTAGCCCCTGCCCCTCACTGCCCTTCTCTAGAATTCCCTGGCTGCCTGATGCCTCTGCATCGTCCTGGTCTGTTGGGGGCTGCGGGCAGGCCCGGAGGAGTGTGTGGAGGCAGAGGAGCAGGGAGAGGGGAGAGGATAGGAGAGATGCTACACTGCACTAGTTGGGAGGAGTGCCCCCAGACTGAGTGGTCCCGCACTGGAGCCTGCACCCAGGAAGGGCTCTGCAGAGGGCCACACGACAAGGCTTCTGCAGGCCCTGGATGCCACTTCTTTCCTGCACAGCCTCAGCCCAGAGTTTGATTAGCTGAGCCTGGCCCTCTTGGTTACCCAACAGGCCGGCTGGCCAGGGGCCAGGCTGCAGTGGGGAGGCTCCCTGGCACCTCCTCCTGCTCCTGCTTCCAGCTGGTAAACAGCAGAGCAGGAGCCAGCCACGCCACGGCCTCGTGACTCGCCCACTCCCCCCACCTGGTGCACGTGGCACCTGGCGTGGAGAAGGCAGAGGCAGGCAGCTGTCCCTTTCCTCTCCTGCCCTCCCATCCCGCTATCCTCTACTCCTGCCCTACCCTGAAGCTTCACACTTTGCTACCATCAACACCTCCGCTCCTGGGTAGCTCCTAGAGTCTCCAATGGCTGAAGAGGGACAAAGTTAGAAGTAGAGAAGGACTTTCCGACTCCTAGGATGGTTAACAAGGGGATAGGGTGTGAGGAAGAGTGGAGTGGAAACTTTTGGGGACCTTCTTGTACCGAGAGTCTGAGGGTGTGTGTCTGTGCCTCTGCGCCTCTGATTATCCTGTGTCCTTTTGGTAAATGCGTGGCCCACGCGTCTGTGTACACTTCTCTGCACAGAACAGGATGTTGGTCTGTCTTGGGGCTCTGCCCCTTGGGCAGGTTTGGAGTAAGAAGCAACGTTCTCTGAAGCACCACTCCACCCAGCGCCCTCTTGCAGACAAGTGGAGCCAGCAAGAGGCAGAGGGACAGGGCTGTGCGCGTGCTGGGGCAGAGCTGTTCTGCTCTCCCCATCCCCACCCGCCTGCAGGTGATTGGCTTTGCTTCCACTCCATATCCTCTCTCTGTGCCTCTCCCTGCCCACCCCCCTGCCGGTGGCTCCTCTGTTTTCTGTGCCTCTCCAGCTTTTCCCTCTCTGTCTCTTCTCCTCTCTAAGCCACTCTTCCTCTGTGACTTTGGGTCTCTTAGGGCCCTTCCTGACCTTCCAATCACGGGCACCGAGTGGAGGCCATACACAATGTCTGGGGATGGGCATGTGGCCCTGGCACAATGCCACACAGCCCTGCTACCCTACATACCACAGGTATGGCTGCCACTCCCAACCTTGCCACTTCATGCCACTGTGGGGTGGGGAGGAAGTGACTGGGGGAAGGGTCCTGGCTTCTAGGCCTAAGCGAGTCACATGCTTCCTAGATGTCTCATGTCTCTACCCCTTCCTTGCACTAAGCATGGATGGCTGGGGTTCCTTCTCCCTAGGGCAAGAAAGTACCTTGGTCATCCTTTTGGGAAATCCCCCCTCATGCCTAACTTTCCTCCCTCCTGCTCCAATCACAGCCCCTTTTCTGGAGGAATCTTTCCTTTCAAAGCAGGGCAGTGGTTATTTCCTCCTCAAATACATTCTTATTCAAGGAAGAGGCTGATAGGGATCAGAGAATCATTTCACGCCCCCCCCCCCACAAGTTCCCTTATCAGGCTGGGGAATCTCAACGCAGGGGGCAAGCAGCCTGGAGGGGGTGGAGGTGGTGGTGGTGGCTTGGAACTGGGGAGCAGTCACCAACTTCTCTTTCCCTTCCTCCCCACCCCCTAAACCACAGAAACCACTTAAAGCTCAGTGCAAGCCTGCCCTTCCAGGGAGGGCCTGGGCGTGCGAAGGTGGAAAGTACGTGAGGCCTGGGCAGCCTGCATGCCACACACCACTCCACCCCTCTCCTTCGAGGGCCACCCCCTCTGGGAAGCCTGTGCCAGTGATGGGAGACCATCTTTCTTTGGGTCCTCCCTAGAAGGTCCATTCCTGGGGAGACCTCAACCCACTGGAGTGGCTCAGGGAGAGGCCTCCCTCAAGCATTAAAAAAAGGACAACGTAGGCTCTATGAGTATCTGTAATCTCACAGCCTCCACCCCTCCCCCTTTCCGTCACAAAGGCCACTGTGGGTGGAGGGAACAGCGGGAGTTTGACCCCAGCTCCTGGCCCTGAACTTTCTGTGGTGACCCTGCCTGTACCACTCATCTGTCAATTAACACTTGTGGTCACTTGGGCTTGGACAAAGCAAGGAGGGTTGAAAAACAGGAGTTCTGATTTTTGGAGCCAAGAGACTTGGATAAGAATGAGGCCTGTCAGTTCTTAGTCCTCAATTACCACATCAGTAAAAAGGGGACAATAATAACTGTCCTGACTGTGTTTGCAAACATACTTTGAGGTCAGAGCAGTCTGCACGCAGGAAGGCTTCTTTAGGACCTTATTTGCCCCAGGGCATGCTTCTGTGGCTTTAGCCAGGAAGTTCCTCCAGGGACTTTGTGGCCCCCATCACAGGGGACAGTTCCCAGCTGTGAACACTGAGTGAACTGCTCCTGAGTGGAATGGACTCGAATTCCCACCTCACAGCCTCCTCTGAGCAGTGTGGTGTGTGGGTGTGTATGTGTGCACAGGTGTGTGTGTCGGGGTGGAGCCACAGTCCTAAACCTTCCCTCCAGCTAGGGCTGACCTCCAGGCAAGTTTACTGAACCTCTCGGTAAAGTGAGAATAACCATACCTACCTTACAGAGCGGTTGCGCTGATTGCCCGGGATGACACAGGTAAAGTACAGGACTTGGTGCAAAGCAAGAGATGTCTCTGTCCCTCTCTCCCAATTTCCATCCTATAATCTTCCTTCTCTTTATCTGACCCCTTTCCTATGCTCCTTTCCTGCTTTGTTTTTCTCTATATTATCAAGTAACATTTTTTACATTTTACTGATTCATTTTGTAACTTGTCTGATCCCCACGTATGTTTGGATCACTGCTGTGTCCAATGCCTGGTACCTCGTAGGCTCTCTCAAAGTGTTTGTTGAAGGAATGCATGAATGAGGGTTAAATGACCTCTACCTTTCTTTCCAGCTACTTTCCATTGGGCATCAAATCCAGTCGCTCACCCAAGTTTGTTATGGGAGGATTTGGGGCTGAAGAAGGATAGTGCCCAGGGATATGGCTAGACATATGGGTGGCTTCACAGATCGAAAAGATTGGAGAACCGTCATCCTAGGGAAGGAGGAAACCCCTTTCAGAGTGACCTGGTTGGGAGGTGGCAGCTGGCTGCCGGGGGATATTATAGTGAGGCAGTTAAGCGCCCAGACTCTGGTGGCAGACTCTCTGGGTTTGAATCCTAGTTCTACTCCTCACTAGATGAGTAAAGCTCAAGGTCACATTGGATAACAATAGTACTTAACCCTCATGGGAGTTGCTGGGAAGAATAAATAACTTGACAAATTGTTGGAACAGTTCTTTGCGTGGTGATCCTTGTGCAGCTGTTAGCGTTTATTATTGTTTGATCAATGCTACCACCTGGTGGACATCTGGAGCAAGATTTCCCTGGCCTAGGGCTGTGGTTCTGGGGGAGCCTAATCAGAGGAGGGAGAAGGAACTGGGGAGCATTCTGAATGCAGGAGTGTGCATGTGTGTGTTAGGATTACACACACCGAGGTTTATTAGGATCCAGCAGGCTCAGCCCTGGTTCGAATCAGGGGCACCAGGGAAATGAGAAAGGCCCTGAGGGGAAGGGAGAAGGAAGCCGGGTTGGCCCAGTGCCTCCCTCCTTCCCTCTCTCTCCCTTTCCCTCCTCCAAGCCTGGCCTAAGCCAAGAGGAACCAGCTTCAGGGAAGGTGAAGAGAGAGAGAAGAAGGTCACTGCTGACGTCAGGGACATTCAGGTAGGAGGTAAACACATTCTGACCTACATTTAGCCATCTCCCACACCCTCCCCCTACTCACTGGTGTGGCCTTTTCTGGGCATTCTTGAGAACAGCTCTTACACTCCAGTAGGACGTCATCCTCCACCAAGATCTCGATCCCTGGGACATTATATCTCAGTCATTCAGTACCCAAGAGCTGCTCTGGCTCTTAGCTCCAGCTTTGCCCCCCAGGGTAGCACAGGTGCAGAAGGGACAGGCAAGACAGGACACCTAAAGGCACTGTGTGCTAGTCAGACATCACCTGACTCACTCCCAAGACACAGACATTTCATCTCCTTTCAGGACAGATGTGGGTGCGAGTGGGGAGGTGGATCGGTGGGGAAGTGCTGATTTCCCTTTGCAGCCCCAAGGAAGCCCCAGGGGAAGGTGGCTTATGTTGGTTTCAGTCATGGAGCTTTTCTGGAGTGACTCAGTGATTGGAGGACCCCCTGAAGGGGTGGGGACCTTGTTGGACAGGAACCCTAGGACCTACCCAGCCCAGACCTTCTGAATTAGCATCAAGGTCTCTTGGGGATGGAGCCCAGGATTCTGCATGTTTAACAAGCTCATCCAGGATTTCTGATGTCTGGTTATTCTGATGCTTATTCAAATTTTAGAACCGATGCTTAAAGCCTGCTCCAGCTCAGACGATCTGAATGTGCTTCTTCTAGCCTTTGTATGGCCAGGGCAGAGGGCAGAGGGTAGGCTGCAGATCTGAGAGTGTAGGGGGCCAACAAGGGGAGATATGCAGCTAGAGAAAAACAGACATTTTATGAGCAAAAATAAATACATGTCTGGCAGATGGAAAGAACGACTGCAGACCCAATGGAGACCTTCCGAGGAAGAGACAGTCTCTCAGTCTACAGGCTGAGATGGGCAGGAGCCAGGGAGGCCCCTGAACCTAGCTCCCCACCCAAGAGAGGCAGCAGGGCCATCAGCGGCACCTCGCACTTGCCCAGCAGCACGTCCCTGCGGAACCCTTCGCCCCTGTCCAGCACCTTGGCTCTCAGAGTGCGGGCAGCCAGGTCTGGTGGGCGGAGCCCGTCGAAGAAGAAGTCCTCGTTGAAGATGGGGTTGGGGCTGCATTTGACCACGCGGCTCCGCTGGCCCCGCGGCCGACAGCGCGGTCGCAGCCTCAGCACCACGCAGCAGCCGCCACCGCCGCTCCCGGGGCCCGCCTGCGACCGGGACAGGCCCTCGGCGCTGACTAGGCGCAGCCGCAGCCGCCCAGGCCCGGCCTGGTACTCGGCCGAGAGCCGCAGCTGCCCGCCCCGGGGCCCGAGGCGCAGCACGCTGTCCTTGGTCGGCTGCAGCTGGCAGCACAAGAAGTCGAGGTGGAATAGCGGCAGCGCTGGGGGCCCCGCGCGGCGCGGCGCGTACGGGCTGGTGTCGGCCGAGCTCGCCTCCTCCGGGGACAGCGAGTGCGGCCTGGGCGGCCGGGGCTCGCCGGAGCCTGGCCGCGGCGAGCCGACGGGCGACGAATCGGGTGACGAGGCCGTGTCGCTGTCAGGGGCCCGGCAGAGGCGCAGGTCCGGAGTGGAGAAGTGCAGCCGGGACTGCGCCGGGGGAAGCCCCCCAGTGGGGGCGGGCGGCGGCGAGTGGAACAGGGACTCGCGCCGGCGCGTGTGCGGACTCTCGGGCAGGAAGGCCCAGCCTTCGCGGCCCGCCAGGTGCGGCAGCGAGCAGGCCGCGGGGAGGCCGCGCCCGCCCGAGTCGCGCCCGGCCCGGGGCTCGGCGCCGCCTGGGTCCGGGAGCCGAGGCGGAATGAAGAACTGCGGGATGCGATCCGGTGTGAGGACGTTGGGGCAGGCGCGCGCAGCCGGGCCTGGGGCGCGGCGCTTAGGGAACAGGCCAGAGAGCGCCCACCCGGCCCCGGGCTCCGCGGTCCCCACCCTGTAGCCAACTTTCTCCAGGAGCCACATGCGGTGGGTGGTGGTGATGAAAGTCCGAATTCCGCGAGGCCGAGAGAGTCCAGATCCAGCAGCGGCTCGGGTGGAGACCTGGGCGGAGCTGGGCAGGGCGAGGAGAGAAGACGACCCGGAGATGGGTGATGCTGCGAAAGTACAGCGGGTGGTCCGGCGCCGCGCCCTTCTCCCCGGGTCCTCGGGGCGCACAGGCTCTTATCTGAGCAGGAAAAACAAAGGGCGGCGAAGTGTGGGGGCCCGGGAGAGATGGAGGGAACCCAGGACCAGACAGTCTCATTTTCAAATGCAGGCCTCGGACATTCGAGTGCACAGACTGACTCTCCCATTGGTACGAAAGATTAGTACATCTTTTAGTTAGAAAAGTTAGAAGGCCCAACACAGCCACTAGAACCCTAGGCTACTATTAGGAGAATAGAGCAACACTCGCTTTGTCTAAAGGTCTGTAGTCACAAACACGGACCTAGATCGCGAGCCCGGCTCATATGCCCCGCCCCCCGAAGAGACACCGCGGCCCTAGGCCGGCTCATCTCGTTCTCCTCTTCCCATTCCGAAGACTCAGGCTCTCCGAGGTCGGGTCTGGCGCCTTTCCGGCTCCCTCTAGCCCCGTCCCCCACCCCCCGGGGGAAGCTTCTCTAGACTGGGGGCCCTGACCCCACCTGCCTCCTCTATCTCCTCCCTCGCCTTCCCGAGTCGCTCTAGGCCAGAAGCGGACTCGCTGCACACCTGGCTGCTGCCCTGCGAGCACCCAGGGCCGGTCCAGGGAGACGTACCTTCGGGGGCACCGCTCAAGGGCCCCCGTAAGCCCTGACGGTCCCGCTCCCAGTCTCCCAGCCCTACCGGCATCCCGAGTCTGCAGGGCGGGGCCCGGCCGTTGGGGCGCCCCTCCCACCCTCCACTCCTTTTTCTCCCTAGGAAGCCTCTGAGCACAAAGGCAGCATTGAGTCTCCGCCACCCCCAGAGCTGGCTCCAGGAGACTCCGCCGCCGCGCATCCCCCGCGCTGCACCTCCCGAGCGCGATGTTCAGACCGTGTGCCTGGGAGTCCGAGCCCACGGCGGGCTCGGTCGGGCGCCCAGAGTGCAGGCCTCACCTGTGGGCCGCCGCTGGGTCCTGGCCTCTAGCCGGGAGCCATTCACAGCCCCGAGGGAAGCAGCTTCCTCTCCAGTTTGCTCCCCCAGCTCCGTCCTTCTGGGAGGAGCTGGCAGGGGCCTCCGTTGCCTACGTACGACCTCTTTTCCTGGATAAACACAGCTCTGTCTCCGCGGCCATCAGCCCGGCCTTCTTAACTCCTTCCTCCAGGTTTCTAACAGCAAGCCAGCCCTGGGCCCCGGCTTCTGCTGGGTCTGGGCCGCTTGGGAGCTGGGGAGGGCTGCAGCAAAGAGGGAAGGCTGCCATTAGTGGGCAGTAGCCTCCAGCCCTCTGTGCAGCGCTGGCCCCATCCCAAGCCTCCTAGGTCAAGCGCAGAGCCATGGCTGACGCAGGCTCAGCGAGGCGAGTTGAGGAAAGATTTCTTGGACTCTCAAAGTCTGGTAGTAGTGCTCCTTTATTCAGAGAATAGCACGGGGACAGGACCCATGGGCAGTGAAGAGCTGCAAGGTGTTGAGGGTTAGGGCTAAATTTATAAGGCATGGGTACGTGGCTTATTTTTACCAGACAAAGGAAAGATGATGTAAAAAGTCATTAAAATGGTATTAGTGTGGGTGCGGTCTGGTTATTGTGTGGTTGTATGACTTTACATGTGAATCTGGTCATATAGATCGGCATGTAGGCCTGGACACCTTGGGCTTCTCTCTCTGGGGCAGCCTTGATCCACTTCAAAACCACATCTTCTGCAAAACCCTCCTTGCTGGAATCCTGCTTTGGCCCCCATTGTCCTGTTCTGGAGCCATCCCAGAAGCTCCCAGAGTGACTTGCAATGACAAGTTCTCTGAATTACCCTGGCTCAAGGAAAAGTGACTAGGCTCAAGATTTTTGGACATAAGAGACTCTAAGGACAGAGCTGGTCTATCAGTGGGTCAAAGTCAGGCTGGCCTGTGCACACTATCCTTGGCAGAAGGCTGTTAAACTGCAAACATGGAGGCTGTCTCCCCTCTCCTTTCCATCCCTCCCAGGCAGATCCTAGGAAGCACAGGCCACCTCTGCCAGGAAGAGATGGTGGACTGCACTCCAGGCACAGCACCATCCCTCAATCTCTCAAAGGCATCAAGCTCATTCCCTTCTTGGCATCTTTGTACAGGCTCTTTCCTCCCCTAGGACGGCTCCTCCTTCATCTTTCAGATCTGGAGGCCCTCACTGGCACCGTGCCCTCTGAATTAGGGGCTCCTGTTGTGTACTTTCACAGCACCCCATGCTTTTCCTTTATGGCTTCGGTCACAATCTTTTCTGTAATTTATTTCTGTGATTGTTTATTTAATGTCTTACTAGACTGTAGGCATCACAAGGACACTGCTTAGCACAAGGCAGGTGCTCAATCAGGATTTATTGAATGAATTAATGACATTAAGCAGAATTGTACCTGGATCAGTTTGTTCATCCGTTCATGGTGCCAGGTGCTGGGGATACATAGAATGGGAGCAGTCTAAGGGGAGAGACAGACGGACAGCAACAAGAACAACAAAGAGACACATTGTGAAATGTGGGAAACACACAAGATGATTATTTTGACATCTGATACTTGAGTTTTTTGAGGGAGCAAGTGTTTCTTTTGTGGAGATCCCTGGTGACCCCCAGGCCCTCCATTCCCCTGGCTCCTGACTCAGCTCATCTCTGGGGGGAGTTTCTGGAAGGGTAGTCTGCGTGGAGTGCTGCAGCCAAGAACTCATGGCTTTGGCATTAGTCAGACGGGTTGGGGAACCGGGCTCTGCGATTTACTAGCTGAGTGACCTCTAGCATGTAACTCAGTCTCTCTGGGGTTCACCATTTCCATCTGGAAAGTGGAGAGAATAAACCTAACTCTCAGAGTTGGCCTGAGGATTATATGAGATAATATATGGGCATCAGTTAGGCTGACTTCTGCTAAAAGTGCAAGAAAACAGAAATCCCACCTCAGTCTGACTTAATAATAAGGACATTTTGGCTTGTATAATAAGAAGTCCACAGGTAGGGTTGGATTCAAAGAAGTTTGATTATGTGGCTCCATTCATTTGTTCATTCATTCATTCATAGTTATTGACTACCTACTATGTGCCAGGCACTGTGCACGCCTCTGGGGATACAGCAGGGAGAAAAGAGATCAATCTCCTGGTCAGATGGAGTTTATACTTTAGTAGGGGAAGAAAGACAATCGACAAAAATAAATTAGTAAAAAATACAGCTTATTAGATGGAAATTAGTGTTGGGGAGAAAATTAAAGTAGGGAAGGATCAGAGAGGGTGTCAGGAGAGCATCCAATTTTAGATAGAGTGGTCAAGGATGGCCACCTTGAGAGTGTAGTATTTTAGTAATGATATGAAAGAGAGAGGAAGGATGTCTGAGGGAAACGCATTCTAGGCTGAAGGAATTGCAAATGCAAAGGCCCTGAGGCAGAAGCATGCTTGGAGTATTCAAGGAGGCAAAGAGGCCAGAGTAGCTGGAACAGAGTGAGTAAGGGGGAAATGAGGTCAGAGAGATAGCAGGACCAGACTCTGTTTGGGCTTGCAGTCGCTGGAACAATCTTAGCTTTTACCTGTGGTGAGCTGAGGAGAGATATGACTTCTGCATGAAAAGGGTCGCTCTAGTGCCTGTGTTGAGAATAAAAAGAGGGGGACAAGGACATAAGTAGGGAAGCCAGATAGGAGGATATTGAAATAATCTTTGCATGAGATGATTAGGGCATGGACAGGGTGGCAGTAGTCAGTTTCTGGATATATTCTGAAGATAGAGTCAGTAGGATTTCCTGATGAATCCATCTCTGTTTAACGAGAAAGAATGATCCAAGGTTTTTGGCCTGAGTAACTGGAAAAATGGAGTTGCCATTTACCGAGAGGGGGATGTATCAGGAGCTCAGATTTAGATCTGTTGAATTGGAGATGCTGATTAGACATCTAACTAGAGATGTTGAGCAAGCAGCTGGATATACGAATCTGGAGCTCAGAGGAGAGGTCTAGACTGGAAGTATAAAAGTGGGCACCAAGAGACATGTCGATGGCATTTAAAGTCATGAGACTTGATGTAGTGTTAGTAGAAAAGAGAAAGGATCCAAAGTCTGAGTCCTGGGTTCTCCAACATTTAGCGGGGGAGAGGAGGAGGAACCAGCTGTGCCAGATGCTGTGGCAAGGTCTGGTAAGACAAGGACTGAAAATTGACCATTGGATTTAGCAATGCAAAGCCACAGGTGACTTTGACAAGAGCAGCTTCAGTGACAGAGTGGAGCAAAAAAAGCCTGATTGGAGTGGGCTCAAGAAAGAATAGGAGAAAGAAAGAGAGTAAAGACAACTCTTGAAGAGTTTGGTGAAAGAGTCGGGGGAAGTCCGGCCGTGGCCAGGGAGGGGCGTGGAATCAAGAGAACCTTTTAAATGACAGAAATAATAGTATGTTTGCATGCTGGTGGAAAAGACCAAGTAGAAAGGGGAAAATTGACAATGCAGAAGAGAGAAAGGAGAATTGTTGGAGAAATCTTCTCAAGTAGACAAGAAGAAATAGGTGTCACGCATAAGAAACAGATCTAGGGTTGTCCTTTGCCTGTTGTGTGGACAGTTCACTCACAGTTACTGGAGAGAAAGGAGACTAGTGGAGAGTTGAGGTGGTGGAAGCTTGTTCTCTCTGAATGCTTCTAATTTCTCAGTGAAACAAGAAGCGAGGTCATCAGCCGAGAGTAATGATGGGGGATGAGGTGGTCCTGAGGGTTTGAGTAGAGAGGACCAGGAATGAAACAGTCGCCTAGGAGAGCAGGACAGTGAATGATCTAGAGAACTGCAGGATGACTGCTGGGCAGCATTGCGGGCCCACGTTAGGATAGTGATCAGGACGTTAAAGTGGGGCCAGACAGCATGGTGGTTTGCTTTTTCTCTAGCTGTGTTCAGCTGTGCAGCATGCAGGGAAAAATGGGCAAAGATCTGGATTTATCTTAATCTTTTTTTAAATTTTTATTGAGTTAATGATAGGTTACAATCTTGTGAAATTTCAGTTGTACATTATTGTTTGTCAGTTGTGTTGTAGGTGCACCCCTTCACCCTTCGTGCCCACCCCCACCCCATCTTTCCCCTGGTAGCCACTAATCTGTTCTCTTTGTCTGCATTTTTAAATTCCTCATATGAGTGGAGTCATACAGAGATTGTCCTTCTCTATTTGGCTTATTTCACTTAACATAATTCCCTCAAGGTCCATCCATGTTGTTGCAAATGGGACGATTTTGTTCTGTTTTAAGGCTGAGTGGTATTCCATTGTATATATATATACCACATCTTATTTATCCAATCATCTGTTGATGGGCACTTAGGTTGCTTCCATGTCTTGGCTATTGTAAATAATGCTGCAATAAACATTGGGGTGCATAGGACTTTTGGAATTGCTGACTTCAAGCTCTTTGGGTAGATACCCAGTAGTGGGATAGCTGGGTCGTATGGTAGTTCTATTTTTAATTTTTTGAGGAATCTCCATACTGTTTTCCATCGTGGCTGCACCAGTTTGCACTCCCACCAGCAGTGTATGAGGGTTCCTTTTTCTCCACAACCTCTCCAACATTTGTTACTATTAGTTTTAGATATTTTTGTCATTCTAATGGGTGTACGGTGATATCTTAGTGTAGTTTTGATTTGCATTTCCCTGATGATCAGTGATGATGAGCATCTTTTCATGTGCCTATTGGCCATCCGTATATCTTCTTTGGAGAAATGTCTGTTCATGTCTCCAGCCCATTTTTTGATCGGATTGTTTGATTTTTTTGTTGTTGAGTTGTGAGAGTTCTTTATATATTATGGATATTAAGCCTTTGTCAGATATATGACTTACAAATGTTTTTTCCCAGTTAGTGGGTTGTTTTTTTGTTTCAATCCTGTTTTCACTTGCCTTGAAGAAGCTCTTTAGTCTGATGAAGTCCCATTTGTTTATTCTTTCTATTGTTTCCCTTCTCTGAGAAGACGTGGTATCCGAAAAGATCCTTTTAATACTGATGTCAAAGAGTGTACTGCCTACATTTTCTTCTAGAAGGCTTATGGTTTCAGGTCTCACCTTTAGGTCTTTGATCCATTTTGAGCTTATTTTGGTGAATGGTGAGTGGATTTATCTCAATCTTTGACAGTACACTTCCCTGTTCGCTCTCTCCTTCCACTTCCTTCTCTTGGTGGATAAAATTAAGGGTGCATGCAAGAATGTACACCACCTTCGCAGTACAGCAGTGGGAATGAAAACTGACTACAGATAATCCACAGCCTGGCTGTATTAGTCAGGGTCTGATGAGGAAAACAGCACTTGTTAGGTGGTTCAACAGAGGGAGTTTAACTCAGGGAACTTATTACAAAGGTGTTGGAAGAGCTAAAAAGGCAAATAGGATGGTGAGGGCTGTGTAGCAGGATCGGTAACCATGGAGCCACAGCCACTACTTGAGTTGCCTCCCAAGCAAAGAAGAGGGGAGGAATACCCTTACTTCTCCCTACTTCCCACCTTCCAATCTGCCACCAGGGCCTTCCAAAGCTGGATGTCAAAGGAGACTGGGAAATGCAGTTTGTAGGCGCTAGCCCTCTGCAATCTAAGGCAGAGTAGGGGGAGGGTGGGGATCTGAGAGCAATCAAGCAAATAACTGGCACATTGGGTGGCCAAAAGTTGACTTAATTAGAACAATAAGATATCAGACCTGGAAGAAAGTTGGAGGTCACCTTGTCTACCTTCTCATTTTTATAGAGCGAAAAACAGGCCCAAAAAGAAATGATGTGCCAAATAGTAGCAGAGTTAAGACTAGAACTCAGATCTATCTCAAAGAGCATTGTTTTTTCTTGTACCCTAGGGGTCTTCAGATGTGAACAGAGCTGCTCCCTTGAATGAGGACCCAGAGTGCTGCCTCTTCACCTCTTCCAGCACCATCGCTGTCACTGCTTGAGAACTTCACAGGTGAGCCAGGGCTCTGACCTCCTTTGCTTTGCTGATGGCATTGTAGAAGGACACTTAGGGGACTGGGAGTACAGAGTGCTTTCTTGGGCTCGAGCCAGATGAATAGGCCTTTCCTCAGGGCAACTGCTACAAGACTCTTTGGACTTTTCGTTCTTGCTAAGCCGTCTGTCCTGTGGCTTTGAATGCTAGGCTTCAGACTGCATGACTTGGCCACCAGTGCTCACTGTGGGTTCTGGCAAGCGATGCGGTTGGTGATATACTGTGCCTTGCAGCTCTGGCTCCTCACCCAGGACCTGTGATGAGTGACCTAGCTCTGCAGTCTCAGTTCCGAGAAGGCCTTTAGTGTCCCTTCTCTAAGAGCTGATATGAGCTACGGATGTCCTCTGCCTTCTTGAAATGGTTGTTCTTATAATTGCCTTATTTACTCTTTGGTTTCTCTTGGCACTTGAATTAGGCATCTGTAGAACATATATACTCTGCTTCAAGCAGAATAAGCTGCCACATTTGCCTGGATGGCCTAGGATGCCACCTCATCTACCTTGGCAGTAGATGCACTCCAGATGAATGCACTACACATGGGAGTGGGTTTTTAAAGTGTAGAGGGAGCAACTCCTCTTGTTTCTGTCCAGAAAGCTGTAATACTTGGTCTTTTGGAAAAGGGGAAGCATCTTTCAAAGCCCTAGACACTAGAGAAGTGTTCAAGCAGCTGATGATGTTTCCCTTACCAAGATCCCTGCCTGCCCGCCTGGCCTTGTCCAGTCAAGGCTGACTCTCCCAGGCTGGCCATGGGGCCTTGCCTGAGAGCCTCCCACCTCTGTAGATTTCCAGCTTGTGCCTGTTTCTGTTTGAAACTGGCCCCAGCAGAGCAGTGCAAGGATGCATTTGACCTATTTTAATATGGAAACTCAAGTACAAGTGTTTTGTTTTTTTTTTCCTTTTCTTGACTGCATAGGAAGGATGGAATATATTTCCCTTCTTCTCTTGGGAGTGTTTAAATGAAGATTAGGCTCCTCTTCACCATAAATAAAGGACAATAGGTTTTTGGTATCCAATGATTTAGACTCTGGGTTTAACAGATTATCAAGGGCAACTGTGAAAGCACAAAAGGAGAAAGTGTTTTTCTGAGTATATGGGGGAGGGGACATTGCCACAAGATTTCTGGCAATGGCCTCCAGTATTTCTCCAGCTTTTGGAGAGCACTGGGTCAGGGCCCTTCAAATCAAAAACCAGTCCTTTGCCCATCATTCAAGATTGATGGCTTAGGAAGTGTGTGGTCTAGTTATTGGAAAGAGAACCTGATCCACCTACTTCCCCAACACTGCTGAACTTGTGCACAACTCTTTGACCCTGTTCCACTCCATAAAGAGTTTCATCCTCTCTGACCCCCTGAATCCCCAGCCCCAGCCCTAGATCCTGGAACCTCATCTTAGGCCTGAACTCGAATTCTTCACTTGCCAGGATAAGGGTTTGGACATAGACTCTTCTTTCCTCTGCCGGTCCTCCTCTCAGACTGAGGCAGTAGCTGCTAGCTACTCACCAAACCCATTTCCCTTTCTTCTACAGCATATAGTTAGACCATATTTTCCAACCAACCTCCCTCACAGTTTGGTGGGGCCTTGTAACTGAGTTCTGGCCAACAGCAACACTTTGAGGCTTGGCCCTCAAACACCTCCCTTGTGATTCTGTCTTCTCTTATCTGGCAACTGGGTGTCAATACCCAGGATGACTTTGGGAGTCATGTGTTGAAGATGGCAGAGCATTTGTTAGCCAGATTCCTGAATGACTCCTAGACACCAGCAACTGGACTTTATGTGAATGAGAAGTACATTCTATTTGAGATATGGGTTAAGCTACGGAGATGTAAAGGTTTATCTATTTCAGCATTTGGCTTTACCATACCTAATAATAAAATTCTTTATGTTATGTCCCTTGGAGCCCTCATTCTTTGGTAAAACTTCTCTGATCCTTGACCTCTTCCTGAACATCCTCTCCACCTACTGGCCTTGATGGAATCCTGCCTGTCTCTGTGGAAGCTGCTCAGTTTCCTACCCCTCTCTTCCACAGGCTCAGAGGAGGTACAGACTTCTGGATTGCCATTGCCTCCTTCCATCTGTGTTCTTCTCCCTTATGTCAAACCTTTCCTCCTTAGAAATGAGCACCAGCCATTTCGCTCTCTTTCCTGCTTTACCTGTCCTTATCTGCCTTATCCACTATCAACCTGGGTCTTGCCAGCTGGCTCATACCCTCCTCTTACCTCGCATTGGTGCCACTCCAAATATGGGTTTTCCACCAGCAGCTGGGCCTTCTGCCTGCCTCGGTCCACATATACTTGATCAATTTGTTTTCCTGATCCCCACAGTGGCTTATCCAAATCATTGCCCTTCCTCCAGACCTCTTTCCCCACTGATGGCCTTGCCTCCTATTTCATTGAGGAATTCTAGGCATGCTGGTGTGAATCTCCTCAACTTCCCATCCTGCTCTGCACCCCTCACCTCCTTCCTTTTGGCCTCAGAGTCATGTTGATTCTCTCCTGTGACTCCTGTCTCCACTGGTGCTCTTGATCCATCTCTAAGGCCAGATACCTGTTCAGCTGGATGACACTTCTCTTTCTCCTAGAGTTTCAGGCTCTCTCCACTGGCTCCTTCCAAAGAAATTCGTGAATATACTCAAACCTCATTCTTTAAATAACAATAACAACAATGAAATTCCTAGAAAGAATTATCTAGATTCACTTTGTCATTCCCATTCATTTTTTCATCCACCGTAATCTGGATTTTGTTCCTGGCAAAGGAGAACACCACCTTCCTCACTGTCAAATCCAAAGGCCTCTTTTTAGTTCTCATCTATCCTGCCTTCTCTTCAGCATTTGACACTGACCTTGCCCGCCTAAGGATGGTCTCTCCTGTCCTGTTCTCAGTCTCCTTAGTGGTCTTTGGATCTCTACCCCAACTTTAAGCCTTAGAGTGACTGAAGTTTCTATCTTTGACCCCTTTCCCTGTTCTTCTTTCTCTCCTGTCCCTTCACTGTCACTCTCCTTGCCTCTTCCTCGCTTTCACTCTGCATAATCCACTCCCACGGGTTCCATGTCAGTTTTTATATTGATGACTTACAAACTGGGTCAGTGGTTCATCAATCTTGAGCTTCAAATCACAATATTCAGGTTCCTGCTAACAATTGCCATGTGGTAGAAGTTCCATGGGCACTTCAAGCTCAAGCTCAATGCATGTGAAATGAGCTCATTATCTACCCCTCACCTCAAACCTGCTCCACTGCATTCCCAGTGGTGCCACCTGGAATCCCCAAGTCAGAAATAGTGTCATCCTTGAAGTCTCCCTTCACAGATCTACTATACACAGTTAGTGGCAACGTCCAGCACTCCCTCGATTGCCCATTTCCCATAGCTCTTGTCTTCACAGCTCTGACCTACGTCAGGCCCTTATTGTCTCTAGTTTGGAACCCTGCAGGGGTCTCCTAACCAGTACTCCCACCTTGAGTCTTGCTGACCTCTTACTTCCATCATAGTAAACTTTCTAAAAAATAAAACTTTATGTCACTCCCCAGCCCAAACCCTTTCAAGGTTTCTGTTGCCTACAAGCAGAGTTCAAGCTCCCCAGCAGGGTTTCTGAAGCCATCCATAGTCTGCTCCTGCCTCAGCCCACCTTCCCTTTCTCTGAATTCCTGCCCCACTCAATACCTGCTGGTCTATAAAGTCACTGTGCTCTTTCACCCCGTTGTTCTTACTGCTCCCTCTGCCCAGAGAAGGCTCCCCTCTCCTGCCTGCCTGATGAACACCACTTAACTTTTAAGTCTCAGTTCAAGCACAGCTTCTTCTAGAAAGTCTTTCTAGACTGGTTGCTTTCATAGAGAAAAATTGACCCCTCCTCCCTTTGTGTCTTCACTGTACCCACAATAGGAGTCAGGGTGAAGTAGGGGAGCTGATGGGTACCCTGGGTACTCTGCTCCTGGCCTGCAGTTGTGCATCTTGAGGCCAGGGACCCTGTCTTTCATCACAGTGTGCTTGGGGCCTCACCCAGCACCTGGTCCTGGTGCTCAGTCAATCTCTTCCATTGGTGCTGAATGGGAAGGTGGGTGTGTGGGAGGCCCTGGAAGGATTTTGATTTCCAACTACAGAAGGGTCTTGGGCTGCGAACGTGATTGTGAGACTTTACTTACTCAGAGGGAAGTGCCCTCCCTCTCACTTCACCAGTCACTTCCTGGGGACCCCTCCCTCCTCTGTGGTGGGTCCCAGGCAGGCAGGGCAGTCAGTAATAGGCCCTCCAGAAGACATGGTGACTCTTACGGGGACGAGTCCTCTTCCAGCGGCAGCTGCAGGAAAACACCTGAAAGAGAAAGGCGAGCTGAGGGCAGGAGCTTGATGGGGCTCTCTGAGCAATATATCCATTTACCCAGTGCCTGGATCCTGTCCTTGTGGTACAGGTTGGGCAATACATATATAGAAAAAAAAATCCTAGTGGGTTCGCTGTCATTCATCATTGTCTACTGCAGGTGTCCGATCCCACTCTAAAAACCTTGACCCCAGCTTGGGACTGGATCCTTAGCATTCTCCCTTCCATTTGCTTGCAGGTGGTGGTGGCAGGACAGGGCCCGGGGCTGAGCTGAGGACCTCTTTACCTGAGGACCTCTTTACCTGAGGACTTGGCATAAACTGTCCGCTTGTCCCTGCTCCAGGTGACGCAGGACATGTAAATCTTCTGGTCCTCAATCTTTTCCAGGAGGCAGCTTAGCCCATCCCTCACGTGAATCTCTGGGCCCCATCCCTTCACCCCTCCGTCCCCACATCCTTCCCTTCATCCCATCCTGCCTCAGGACTTAAGCGGCTCTGGGCTCGGGGCCCATCTGCTGGTCCCAGAGTCAGATGGCAGAAGTGTGCTCTGGCCAGGGACTGGAGGAACTGCTGGCAGCGGGCTGGGGAAGAAGAGTGACAGACAGGGCTCCCGCACCCCTACTGCTGAGGATGGGACCCCTTCAGTGATGAAAAGGGACGTGACTTTGGCCAACACCCTGATGATCTGTACTTACTTTTTGAACCTGACGTTGAGGCTTAGTGTGAACAGTCCCTCTCCAGCCAGGTAGGCAGTTTTAGAAAAGGTCTCATCCATCATGGCTGCCAGGGACCCTCCATGGGCACACCTGGGGGTGGGGGCAGAGAGCAAGACCAGGGCTGCAGCTGCTGGGTATACTGTCCCCCTGAGCCTTCCCCGACCCTGAGGTGGAACCACCACCGGGTCTACCTTTCCCCAGGAAAGGAAGGAAACAGAGGTGGGTCCCATGTGATCAAACCAGTCAAAATCAACTCAGCTTTTCTTCCATGTTGCTTCAGCATGTATTAGCAACCACTGATATAATTATTTTATTTCACTAGGAAAAACATTTTTTTCTGATAGAGTTAATGGTGGAACATTTTTCTGATTCATAGCTTAATTACTGGCAGCAATTGCCATAATTTGGAAAGGTGTGTACATACGGGGGATGGAAAAGCTCCTGAACTTTTTAGCTTAGTCTCTGAGGCATGGAAGCCATCCATAGCCTGGCTTGGTCCAGCTCTCAAGAGACAAGTCCCTATGGCCAGTGCTGAGCCCGCATTTTCAAGACTGGTAATGTGACACGTAACTTGTGACCCATAAAGTGCTGACAGGATGGACTCCTGAGAGATCTGCCTGGGGAAGCCGCTTCAGCAGGATGCTACAAACATTTGCTTTATTTAAAGTGTGTAAGATTCTCATCCTCACTTGTGTAAGCTGACCTTCATGCCAAAGCTGCTTCATTGTTGGTTAAGTTGGGGAAAGTAGAAAGGCACCCAACTTTAGAACACAGATAACACAAAACAGATTTGAGTTTCTGATTTTCAAAAGCACGATCCTCATTCTCCATGGACCAGGTAGTTGGCTCTGCTGCACTACTGTGAGTTACCCTCCTGCTCCTGCCACCAATGGGCTTCCAGGACCCTGGTTTCCTCCTCCTTTTGGTGGAAAGAGCTGGGGACCATGGAACCACACCTACCCAGTTTGACTCCTTGCTCTGCCACTCACCGCCTATTTGATCTTGAGCAAACTGCTAAACTTTTCTGAGCCCTAGTTGTTCCACTACGAATTGTGAGAAAAATAATTCCCTAGCTCATCAGATTAAATGAGGTAATGTTTACAAAAGCTCATGTATACTTCTAGTCACTTCCCTCCCCACATTGCTTGAAAGAGGGAAAAACGAGTTGGTGCCAAAGAACCCTAAATCTGCTCTTCCCTTGTTGTCCTCACTGGCCAGGCAGAGGACCCAGTGGCAAGTGTGTAGATTCTGCAGGGTAGCTCTTGACCAGCCAGTAACTACCTCTCCTCATTGCCTAGGGACTGGGAGGGGGGCAGTACTTGTGAGATAATAGAAAATAAGTATATTGGTCTCTGTCCCCCTTTCCTGGCACAGGCCTCCTGAAACCCTTGTAACTTCCTGGGTTTCAGGAAGATAGAAGTGTCTTTTGTTCTAATGAGGTGACTCTGGGTGGGCTGCTGGATGGCTCCTGGATGAGGACTGGCCACCAGACAGACCAAGCCATGATTAGAAGCTTGGGTTTTTTACTTCCCACGGTTCAGGAAGGGGAGAGGGGCTGGAGATTGAGTTAATGATCCATCATGCCCATGTGATGAAGCCTCCATAAAAATCCTAGTAGTATGGGGTTCAGAGAGCTTCCAGATTGGTGAACACATCCACATTGGGAGGGTGACACCCAAGCTCCATGAAGACAGAAGATCCTGCACTCGGGACCCTCCTAGACCTCATCTGATGTATCTCTTCATCCGGCTGTTCACCTGTAGTCTTTATCATATCCTTTAATAAACTGATAAATGTAAGTGTTTCCCTGAGTTCTGTGAGCCACTCTAGCAAATTAATTGAACCTGAGGAGGGGGTTATGGGAACCTCTGATTTGTAGCCAAGTTAGCAGAAGTAGTGGGTAACCGGGGGACCTACTACTTGCAATTGGCATCTGAAGTTGGGGATGGCAGTCTTGTGGGACTGAGCCCTTAACCTTATCTCCAGATAGATAGTGTCAGAATTGAGGTAAATTGGAGGACATCCAGTTGGTGTCGCAGAATTTCTTGGTGTAGGGAAAAAGCTCCACACATTTGATGACCAGAAGTGTCAGAAGTGAAGTGTTCTGTATGAGTAGTAAAGGAGACTCACAGGGAAGAAACACAGTAAGGAAGAGCTAGGTTTTTGCCTACACAGGAGATAGGCTGAACTGGGGTTTTCTAATTCAGTGCTAATCTCTTCTCTGGACCCCCTCAATCCACTGGCCTCAGTGTCGATGGTCCTCCTCTGCTTCTCCTGCCCCGCCTCCATGAGCTCCTAAATAAACGTCAGCCACACTTCACCCCCACCCCTGCTTTCTTGGGGTTTTCCTCTTCACAAGAGAGGGGATCCCTGGCCTACATATGGCTCCGACCTAGTCCCTCAGTGTCTGCATGCACTAATGTGGAAATCACTTTCCCTGTGGAAGATGCCTTTGGGATGGCCAAGGTGACCAAAGGCTGCCGTCTGAATGCATGGCCTGGGGAGGTGCAGACGTCTATTAAACTCTCTGAATTCTGTTTAACTGCAATTGAGTCCCTCACAGGCCTTAAGGCCCTAAAGCTGATTCCACCCCCTCCTTTCTCTCTCTCTCTTGCAGGAACTCTGGCACCACCAAGAGCCTTCAGTGACTGTCTAAAGCAGGAAGAGGGCTGGAGGAGAGGGCAGAGCACCATGGACTTGGTGGCCCAGTGGCCTTAGGCAAGAGGACCAGGGACAGCCTGATTTCCCTTGTGGATGTACTTATGTCCAGTGTAAGCTCCTTCCTGGGTCTGCTCCAAGTTTGGAGGCAGCAGAGCACAGTGGAGAGAGCAAGTGAGTTAGAGTCTCAGTTCCTGGGTTAGAGTCCTGGATCTGACCTAGATTGTCTGTTCTACCTTGGGCAAAATACCTTGCCTCCGCGTGCCTCAGTTTGTCCATCGTAAAACATGACAAAACATGAAGTTTGGATAGATGGTGTCTGAGGCTGTCTTGTGCTTTATGGTTCATGAGCACATACACACAGACCCATAATATTCTCTCTCTCAGCCACGCTGCCAGGTAGATATGATTGTCGCAGACTTCAGATAAGGAGACTGAAGGCTAGTGGTTAAATTGCTTGCTTAAGGTCCCAAGGCCAGCAGTGGCAGAGCAGGACTGGAAGCCTGGCTCCTAATTCCAATCTTAGCCTCTTCCAAGTTCACCACATTCTTCTCCAAGTGGCCTCTAAGACCTTTTACTGGAAAATCCCTAGACCTCGATAAGGAGGCTCTCTTTTGTCTGTATATTGGGGACTGGACCAGAGGACCTGGGATGTCCTTCTAGGCTGATATCATGAGACTGAAGCCCAGTGCCCCACATGCCCCACCCAGCTCCTTAGAGAGAGGCCCCAGGGCCTGGTCGTGGTGGGTCCACCTGCTGAACCAAGCCTGAGACGTAGCCAAGGACATCTACCCTGGTGCTGCCTGTTGCCTTACCCTGGAGACCCCTCCAGATAGGGGCCTGGTTGGAAAAGACAGACGGATTTCTTCTTGGTTGGGTGGAAAAAGATGACATATTCGTAGCCTTGTCCTTCCGCTTGGATGCATCTGGTGAAGATGCGCCAGTCACCTTGGTCTGGGGAGAGATGGGCAGTATTGCAGCCGGAGAGGGGAGCGCATGAGGGCATGGGGCTCGAGCAGGGTGCAGGGCCAGTGATTCAGCACCATGGGGTGAGCCCTGCCTCAGTCAAACGGTTGAGGAGAGAACGAGAGGACACCCAGGCTCTGTCCTCAGAGAGCAGTCAATCAGAGAGCAGAGTCACAGCCCTGTCCTCAGGGAGCCCCTGAGTCTGAGGGGGCACAGTCCTGACTTCAGGGAGGCCTGGATCTGGAGGGAAAAACACTCAGGAAGTTCCCCGGCTGAGGGTGGAGATAGGATCAAGGCCAGGTCAAGACTTTAACAGAGCTTAAACCCTGAAAATTAAAAATGTCCCATATATAATTAATATATAATTAAAAGTAACAACAATACTAAACAGTAAAAGAAATGCAGAAAAGTCCCCAAAGTTCTTTTTCTTAAAACAACAACTACATTGTTTTTGGATGAATACCAAATTCTTTTAAAAAATTATTTTGGTTCTTCTGCTTTCTTTGTGCCATAAACCCAAGGGTAGTCTGCCTACTACACGCCCCCAGTCAACACTGGGCAGGAAGACCACATATATGAATGAGAGAGACAAGAAAAAATGGACACACACACATACATGCACACAAAGAAAGCTGAGGGTGGAAGCTCTATCAGTCTGATCAGTGGGTGTTTTGAGAGAGCTGCTCTGGGCCTAGCAGAGCAGTGATGGCTTGCTGAGGTCTGCAGTGAGGGAGCCCCACCCCACCCCAAGGCCTTTATTTGATGGGGGAGCAGGACCTGGGATAAGGCTTATCAATGAAGAAAGAACACTTGGTGAGGAGGCAGAAGGGCACAGAGTGGAGCTGGCAGTTCTCTGGTGCCAACACTCTTAGCTGGGAACAAAGCCAGGCCTGTGCATGTGCTCTCCTCAGATAGAGGTTAGCCAGAGACCTGAGAGGACACTCTTCTCATCCACCTGCCTGGGGCTGCAGTATAAGCGGTGGAGTTAGACAGCAGAGAGGACTCTGTCTGAGAATTGGAAGGGGGATGTTGAATTTCCCACCCAGAGTCCTGGATGCGGGGAAGGGGGCTGGTTAAGCTGCTCCCGGCAGGCTGGGGTGTGCGGGTGCCGCGGGTGCACTCGGATCAGGCCTTACCTGAGGAAGTACCTGAGGAAACTGCAAACCCAGATGGTATCTTGAGCCCCTGGATGTGGTCTCTGTTGGACTTGAAGGAGGGCAGTTTGAGCCAGCCATCAGCCTTGGTCTTTTCCAGAAATTCCTGGTACATGCTCAGCATGTCTGGAAACCAGCTGGCATTGGGAAGGACATAATCCTTCAAATCTGTCTTCTCGACACAGAATCTTGAGACCTGGGAAGGGAAAATCAGGGCTACTAGACAGCTTCCTAGGGGGTGGGGGCTGCTGCTTGAGCTGTGGGACTTCTAAGGAGTATGCTCCTGGGTCTTGAGATCCTCAATCCCTTCTGCTAGTGTTGACTTGAGGAAAACAGCCCATCTTTCTCACAGAAGGTTTGGGGACCCCGTGGGTGACTAGGCAAGGGGAGGCTAAAGTGCAAAGGAAGGGAGAGAAAGGAACGGGGATGACAAGTAGAGGTCTGCTGCTCTGTGGTGCTGTATTACAATTGTCCTGTTTTAAAACCTGTGAGCTGTTCTTTGAGGCTGAGAACTGCTAGTATTAGCCCCATTGTATGGATTAGGAAATATGGCTAAAGTTGCCAAGCTTGTGAGCATGAGAGCTGGTGGTCAGACTCGAGCCCATCCTAAGACACTGTCTTCCCTAGCGGGTGCGACCACATTTGGTGAGGATCATTGTTACCACCCCCTCACCTCAGGGGCTACTCCAGCACTGTGTACAGCTGTGGGCCCGCCTGGGAAGGTGGCTCCTTTGAAACAGGTTTTGAATGTCCACAGAGTTGTGGTGCCATCTGTGGGAGGATGAGGCGTTCTCCATGGGCATCAAGTGCTCACACACCAATAACAACTGTGGGCAGTAATCCAGCTGCTTGTCAAGACCACACACAGGGTCCTCCATCTGAGAACAACACAACTCAGCTACAATAGTCTGAATCTCATAGGAGGAAAGTGATTCATTTGTGGCCACACAGGATTCAGACCAGGACGAAAGTGTCCTGGTGGTCTTAGTTTTGGATCTGGGCTACTTGGTATCCCAAGAGCACCTTCCCTTTGCCAAATCAAATAGCTCCGAACACACTGCCTGCCTGCCCAGCCACAATATGGGGAGAGGAGATTTGGGGGTGCTCCTTAGGCCCCAGGCCCCCAGGAGAAGGGCTGCCCATGTGGCTAAGCTGGAGACTCACTCACCAGGGACTCCGTGGAGGATCCAAACGCAGAGGCAGAGGTGAGTCTGGGCAGGACGTGGGGTACACCAGGAAGGACCCTGTGGTGGCTGAGTCTCGCTGCCACCGGGAAGCCTCTCCTTATCATGGCTGAGCACTGGGCAGGGCTGCTGGCCGACTCCTGAGGAACGACAAAGCGAGTGAGTGGCACTTCTCAACTGCACCTTGTGGCTGTAGGTGCCGCCACCCTCAGACAAGCCTTTTAACTATCTGTCATAAGGCTTTCAACAGCAAGTTTCCATTGTAGATGATTAGGCAAGCCTGGGCTGGTGACACCACACCCAAGGATGCTTGGGGACGCTTGCTTTTTGTCCTGATCCACACCCACTGCTTGGCAGAGGGTCCGGTGCTGCTTCTACAAGAGTGCAGAGCAGGACCGGCCTGAGTTCAGACAGAAATATTTGTTAAAGGAGCAAAATAGTGCCTAAAGAAATAGTATGGGGTACATGGGGCCTTGGAGAGCTGCCCTGGAGTTTTTGGGGGAGAATCCAAGAAAATAACCCAGAAAGATAAGGGAGGTCTCTTGATTGGAGCGTGTTGGTGGAGCACTGGTGGCATGCGCTCTGCAGCAAGACTCCGAAAGCTCTAGCATGATTCTGGGACTCAGAAAACCAAGTCAGAGTCCTTAGCCATCCTCTTCTTGTATTTCAGGGAAGGGGTAGCACAGGGAAGCCTCCACCTGCTGGTCCCTGGTGGGCAGGGATGGGAGTAAGGAGGGAAAGGTCTTAGAGGGGAGGACAGAAAATCACTTGGGGGCAAGCAGCTTAGCAAGGGCACTCTTGTGCTTTGGTAACCCCGGGAGGGGGTCATGGCAGCAGACAGTCTTGGCAGGGAGGTGGGGCGTGGGGCAGTGGGGGCTGTGTTGCTGATGAACCTGGAAAAGAGACAGCTTTGAATGGGGGAGTGGGGAGGAGTGCTCAGTCCGCGTCTGCAAAGTTGTGGATGTTTTCAGTGTAGGCATTTCTTCTATTGAATTAAAACTGCCAGTTGTCAACTAAAGGTCCCAGTTTTTACTTCACTAGAATAAAGCCTGTTCTAAAGGTCAGAACTGTGCAAAGGTGGAATTGTAATGGTGATGATGATGATGATATTTGGGCAGGTTCTGAATGGTCAAACTGATTTAATATGGCAATTTAAAGGTTTTGCCCCACCTTCTGTATTTGGCTGCCCTAGAAGACTAGAATGTAAATATTTCCCTCACCTCTTGTGAAAGTTTAAGTGAAACTTCCTCAAAGACTGGGGAATCGGTTTTTTTGGTTGATTCAGTCTCTGGGTCTAATTAAAAATATTTGAGTTAGTTGCCAACATTCAACAAGAGGGAGTTTGGTACAAAGCAGAAGGTCAAGGATCTCCAGATAAGTGGAAAGATCTGACAAGAATGCAGCTTCATTCTTGCACAGCGGCAGTTGGTGGAGCTGGTACCTTTGCCTGCCTGCTGCCACAGGCCTCCCTTGGTGCCCGGCATGCCCTCATTCCCTTTGCCAGCTTCTGGTTGTGATACTTGATTTGGAAGATGAGACTTGAGGAGGAGACAGGAGAGGAAAGAGTAATCTTAAAAAGGGTAGTTGGCAGCTGGCCCCATGGCCTAGTGGTTAAGTTCAGTGCACTTTGCTTCAGCAGCCCGGGTTTGGTTCCCAGGTGCAGACTTACACCACTCGTCAGTGGCCATGCTGTAGAGGAGACCCACATACAAAACAGAGGAAGATTGGCACAGATGTTAGCTCAGGGTGAATCTTCCTCAGCAAAAAAAAAAAAAAAAAAAAAAAAAAAAAACAATAAAGGGTAGATGGGCTGAAGAGGAGTCTGAGGAAAGGGGAACGGGGAGAAGGAGGGGCTCCCCAGGCAAACCTGGGATTTGCATCTGGGTCCTCCTGACTCCAGATCCCAAGCTTCCAATGCTGGGATTTACTGTCCACCTGTGATGATAAAATTGGACACAGAAGTGCATGAAAGTGTGATGGAGTAAGAGCCAGGCCATGGAGAGAGATCCTGGAGAAGGCCGAGGTGGAACAGACATTTCTTTTATCATTGACTTAAGGCTGGAGTTTTCAAACTTGAATTTTGAAACTTTATATTTTATAAAGAATGATACCCCCATCAAGAAATTGATACAGTTTGAATAATAAGGCCAAATTTGATAGTGGTATATCATTAGCGTCCCTTTTAAGATCGGAAAAAAAAAACCCAAAACGCAACCACCTCTGAAACAATGACAAGGAAGTAATAGTATAAAGGACTGGGGATGGATGTTATAGAGTTGTAGCTGATTGTCTCTAATGGTATATTAGCTGAGTCAGGAATACAAATAAGTTTCCTGTGTAAGGAGACAACACCTGGGCCAATGATTCCCTCTGAAGTACCTCATTGTTCTCAGAAAAAAATAAATCCACCACCGCACGTAAGGATAGGTGTGACAGAAGGAAATGTCCCACAAACAGGATTCAGGAATGATATCCACTTCACCCAAATCTAAAACACGAAAAAAAACCCACTTCCATAAAGTCACCCAAGTCTTCAATCCATTTGTGACATGCACCACAAACTTTCCTGAGTTTCTGAAGAACTCTAGAGTTAAAAGACTCTGAACTAGCGCTCTTCTAACTGAGCCTCAGCAGAAGCGCCACTTTTACTCCTCTTTGCTCTCGCCTTGTCTCCATTTCATGCGTTCTCCCCAAACACAATCTTCACACTGGGGACGTGCCTTGGATTCAATCATTTGCTAGAACAGCTCACAGAACTGAGGGAAACAGTTATATTTACCAGTTCATTATATTTTGAAGGATGTGATCAAGGATACAGATGAAGAGCCAGATGAAGGGATACCTAGGGGGAGTCTGGGCGTGTCCTGAGCTCAGGTGCTTCTGTCCCCATGGAGCTGGGGTGGGCCAATCTGGAAGCTCTCCAAACCAGTACTTTTGGGATTTTTATGGAGACTTCATCACGTAGGCACGATGGATCATTAGCTCAATCTCCGTTCTTCTCCCCTTCCTGAAGGATGGAAGGTGAGGCTGAAAATCCCAAGCTTTGCGTCATGGCTTGGTCTTTCTGGTAACCAGCCGCCATCCAGGAGCACACCCAGAGTTGCCTCATTAGAACAAAGACACTCCTATCACCCAAGAAATTCCAAGAGATTTAGGATCTCTGTGTCAGAAGCCTATATATATATATATATATATATATATTTATTTATTATTTCACGAGGGTGTTACTCCCCTACTCAGGCAACAAGAGATACAGATCCCACGGATGTACAATCTACAAAGAGAGTCGGGCCATGCAGGACTGCCACGTGGCTCTTGGGGAAGGGAACAAGGATTTCCCCTCAGTAGCTGGGGTTCAGCTACTGACTCTTCTGGGAGGACAGCCCCTGCCTCCCGCTGGGGAAACCCTCCCGGGATCAGCTCCCAGGCTTCAGGGTCCCCTAGGGAGTCCCTGCTTCTCCTCATTCCCCTTCCCTCAGACTCCTCTTCAGTCCATCTACCCTTTTTCTTTTTTTTTTTCTGAGGAAGATTCATGTGCCATGACACGTGCCATGTCAGCACACTTTCAAGCCCACAAGACACAGCAATGTGTTAAGCATTTGGAGCTTAAATATTAAACAAGTACAGCTATAGTCAAGGAACTTATAAGTCAACGGAAGATAAGCTCAGCATATAATCAATGTAGAGGTACCTTGTGAGTTAACACAGCAAAACCTTTTTCCAAGAAAAGTAGCCATTTCTGGTTGATGTATCGCCCTCTTTCTGTCTCCAGTAGTGGAATCTTCTCAAGCAGGCAGAGGGACAGGTGGCACCAAATCACCATTCTTGTCACCCCTTCCACCCACATACCCACCCCCTTTAACTACTGATATGTGGAGCCTAGAGAGTCAGTAGGTACAGAGGTGGAGGGGTAATTTGCATAAGGATCCTGGGGTGTTTCTAAGATTCAAAGTTTTGTAATCATGTCTGGAAGTACCCAGGTGGCATGGGTGGAGGTGCAATGGGAGGGAGGAGGGAGAAAGAGTCAGGAGCAGAGGACAAGAGTCGGAAGGGGAAGGGGTTTGTGAAGTCAGGGTCATGAAGTTCCAAAACTGGCCCCTTTCAGCCCTTTGGATGACAGAATCTGCATGCCAGAGGTGGCCATGTGTGTAACCACAGCTGAAGAACTGTGTCTGTCAGTAGAGCGCTGTAGCAGTGGGAACCCAGGTCCACCTAGTGCAAGTACCTGGAGGTGAGCCTCACTCTTGGAAGAGGAACTTCCTCTTCTCACCCGACACCCAAGAAAGTGTTGGTGGCTCTCATCATGGAAGCAAGGGTGTGCCTAGGTGGCCATAGCAACTAGGGAAGAAAGGCAAGATCAGGAGAGGACATGTCTCAGTTACCACAGTGGACTAAGAGTACCCTGGAGACATAGCAGAACGCCAGTCACAGAGACTGGGTCCCTCAGCACCCCTCCCCTGCAGTTTTCCACGTTAGGAACCAGGGCTGCCTCCTTGGTCCTCAGTGACTCCTGGCTTCTTGGACTTCCTGCGGCAGGACAGTAGAAGCAACCCTGGGGTGGGGGAAGATAGGACTCACTTGCCTCTACAGGCTGGGGGTAACTTTTGCAGCTCGTGTGTTGAACTTGGGGCACATTCTGTTAGACCAGTATTCACATTTGAATGGTGTGTGCACAGTTACGAATGACATTAATGACAATGAGGGTCCCAGCTGGCTCCCCCTGGGAACAGGCGGCCAGCCTTGAGCTGTGGCAGTTCACTTACCTCCTGTAAGCGCTTTCATGCCCTCAGCCTTGTGCTTCCAGAACATGGCAATCTAGCCAGATGCAGAAGGGGAGTGGGAAGGAAGAGGGCCAAAAGCTGAGGGCTGTCAACTTCCAGGCGGCAGTAATTTACATTGCCTGTAAAGAATCTTTTTTTTTTTTTTTTTGAGGAAGATTAGCCTGAGCTAACATCTGCTGCCAATCCTGCTCCTTTTGCTGAGGGAGACTGGCCCTGAGCTAACATATCTGCTCATCTTCCTCTACTTTGTATGTGGGACGCCTGCTACAGCATGGCTTGCCAAGTGGTGCCATGTCCGCACCCGGGATCTGAACTGGAGAACCCCGGGCCACCAAAGTGGAACTTGCAAACTTAATCGCTGCGCCACCCAGCCCCTAAAGAATCTTCTCGATGAGCACGTGTGCAACAGATTTTAACGCAAAGCTTTTGCCCTCCTCAGCTGATGGTGTCTTGAGTTATCACACGGGAAAAGCAGTGTTAGGACGTGCAGAGGCTGTTTATGAAGAGGCTGTATCCATTCGTGAGAGAAACGCACACGAATTGGCCCACAGGGCTTCTCTAGGGTGGTTCAAGCCTACTGACATACAAGTATTGTGAAAAAAGTGATACCTATTACTTAAAATTACAGTTTTCCAAGTATTGTGTAAACACGTTATTTGCCTCACCTCCTTTAGTGCTTAGATGCTATCGATGGTCTTATTTTATGGGTGAGCAAACTGTGTGAGGTTGAGTAAATTTTCCCAAATCACAGAGCCACCCCGTGAGGTGGGGGCTCTTCTACATTGGTCGTATGCTGAGCTTATCTCTCGTTGGCTTATAAATTCCTTGACTACAGCTGTACTTTAATATTTAAGCTCCAAATGCTCAACACGTTGCTGTGTCTTGTGGGCTCGAGAGTGTGCTGACATGGCTCCAAACCAATGTGGGTGAAGATAAGAGTGACAATTACAAAAAATACGTATTTTATATTCATTTACTCACTTAATCTTCAATGACAATCCTAGGAAATAGGGACTAATACTACCTCCATTTTACAGCTGAGGAAATGGGGTTGCTCAGAGACTACCTAACTTGCCCAATGGCACACACTCAGGACTTGAACCCAGGCCATCTAGCAGCTTAAAGTAACATTTATTATTTCACTCATTTCTGAGAGTCAAGAATCTAGGAATGTGTTAAGTGGGTGGTTCTAAGCCAGTGTCTCTCAGGAGGTTGCAGTCAGTGGGTGGCTGGGGCTGCGTTCTCTGAAGACTTGGCTGGTGCTGGAAACTTCACTTCCTCCCCACGTGGGCCTCTCCATAGGGCTGCTCTCGACATGACTTCCCTCCAAGTGAACGGTCAGACAGAGGGACAGAGAAAGAGAACCCAAGATGGAAGACTTCGATTTGTTTGAAGTGAATCATGAAGTCCAGCCTACACTCAAGGGGAGGGGAATTAAGCTCCACCTCTTGAGGGGAGGAGCATCAAAGAATTTGTGAACTTAAAAACCTCACATGCCCTAACTCAGGGGTGGACGCAAACTATGGCCTGTGGGCCAACCAGCTGTTCACATAAGTTGTTCTTTTTTCCTTCAGGAAGATTAGCCCTGAGCTAACATCTGCCAATCTTCCTCTTTTTGCTGAGGAAGAGTGGCCCTAAGCTAACATCCGTGCCCATCTTCCTCTACTTTATATGTGGGACGCCTGCCACAGCATGGCTTGACAAGCGGTGCCATGTCCGCACCGAGGATCTGAACCGGCAAAACCACGGGCTGCCGGAGTGGAATGTGCGAACTTAACCACTGCAGCATTGTGCTGGCCCTAAAGTTGTTTTTTGGGAACTCAGCCATGCCGATCCTTATGTATTACCTGTGGCT